ATGACAAAAAAAGGTTGAATCATGTCATCTGGACTTCGTTTTTTTGTTAAAAAGAAACGTTTCGCCCCTCGTCCAAGAGGCTTCGTCAGTCTGAGGCCTAGCCATCTGGTATTACCCAGAAGCCACCCTGACTCTTGTGTTTCAAGCCTGCCTCAGATACCCCTGAGGTCTGGCCTTTTCACTAATGGTTTCAAAAACACAACATACCTGGATGACTGAGAAAACAAACTTTGTGCATACGGCCATGGTTTTCCGTTGCTTCACAACAGACATTTCTGAAAATATCTGGAATGATTTCTAGCAAAATAGAAGAGTTTAAAGATGGAAATGAAGTTTAAATGGAGAGGAAAAGATGGATGAGGGAAATGTGTCAGTATCAGAACGGCACGCGCCGTTGAGATCCCAGCTTCCTCCTCGGTACACTTAGGTGGTGTAAATCAACTCTTTACCTGTAGCAGGTGTCTCCACTGGTACGGAGTTCCATTTAACGCACCCTTTCAGCGTCTCCGTAGGAACAGCTGTGAATCGTCCGAAGTAGTGCCGGTATTCCGTCCGACACAGGTTCACCTCTCGGTGGACTCACAAGAGGAGTAAGTCCGTCAGAGGCTCCACTCAGATGTGGAAGATTTCATAATTCCCACAAGACTCGGAAGAACTCCGGATCATGTCTGGAACTCCTGTTCTCTCCAGCACTTCTTCCGTTCGGTTTGCTCTCCGAACCGACCTCGACTGGGCTCGACTGCTCTCGACTGAACGAACTAGGAAGTGCCGACATTTAAAGAGTTCTATTTCCGGTTCATTTGGGAAGTCCCTGATTGGTCAATCGACCAGACAGGGGTGTGTTTTAGTGATGTAAGAGGTTATTAAAAGTCAGAAAAACAGAAAGAATGTTTTGGAACAGACTGAAAATGTTTTAGAGACAGACGAGAGAAATGTTTAGACGAGTTGGGGGAAAACAGGTGCCAGCTTCTCTATTTACGTCTGAGAGGATATAAAAACATGACAGTTCGTTCCAACAACTTGTCTTCGACCTTTGACCGACATCACAACTT